TTACACACGCCGTCGACTCTTTGGGTCTAAGACATGTCGGTTTCCTCACGATGTTTTCCTTCACCGTTCGAGCGAATGTTAAGTGCGCACATAGAAAGAAAGTTCATTGGTACACGCTGAAGCCACTAAGCCAACACTGCTCAGTGTAATAAGTCAAGTAAGTCTGGTGAAATCTTCTTAGTATCTTAAAATAATCCTTTATTTGTTTAAAATGGCTATTCAATTCAAAAGACAAATTCCGATGACAGATAAGATCTGTAAACATTCAAAGGTAGTTCAATTCAACTTGACAGTCGTTTTGTGATAGAACGAACAATCGTAAACTAAACAATAAATAAAGATTACCGTCTGTTCGCTTCGCCAAAATATATCCTGTGTGTGGCTAGGAACGAAGCGATATCAATTGTTATTTCCGTTAAAAATCTTCTACGTTTTGGGATAAATTACCTATCCTCCTATGTTACCAGAGCATAAGGTCTACAGTTTTTCTAATCCAATCATAGACAAGTAACACAAACCGTCTTTCCATTTGATCAAAAGACATGCGCCGTCATTTACTCTGTAAATTTAGTTTTTATTGTACACCTTTCACGATTACTAGGTCTTAGTTCACTTACCATCAGCCTCACACACATTCCCTGGTCGGTCTCCGTAAAGTTTTAATTTTTTCCGACTATTGCATTTTATATACTGGGTGGCGCAAAAGTAAAGACCCTATTTGGTTCAGCTATAACATTTTTTCTAAATTAGAAAACTAGATTTAGGTTTTTTTAAATGTATATTTGTGCCATTAAATTTCGTACCATTAAGCAGGGTCCACACTATGCCGGGGTAGGCCGGGCGGGCTGACCCGGGCGGCCTAAGCCGCGTTGATGTAGACGCCCCGGGCGGCTTTGCCGGGTTAGAAAATGCCGGCCCGGGACGTGCCGATCCCAACCCGCATAAAGTAGGTACAAATTAAAGGAAGCCGAGCCGAGCCGAACAAAAATATAGAATGGGGACGTGCCGGGCGCCCCGAGCGGCTTCAGTTACAATTAAACCTCCGACCGAAGTAGACGAATTATTTTATTTTCGATTCAGTTTGTTTAAGTAGGGTTTTTTATTGTTCATTTTAAGTACTCTTCAACTAAATCACCAGTCTTGGTGTTGAAACTAAATAATGTAGGTAGAAATAGCCCGGTTGGCTTCGTTTTCAGTGTGGACGTCGTGCCGGCCCGAACGTAGCCGCCCGGCTTAGTCCACCCGGGTCAACCCTCCCGGCCTACCGCGGCATAGTGTGGACCCTGCTTTAGGATTTAAAGATGATGTCTTTTAAATGGTGACCTCCAGAGTTGATGCACATTTGAACTTCTCTAATACTTTCTGCGATATGTTCCTTATTTCTTGATGAATGTTTTCTTTTAGAGCTGCGAGAGTCTGTGGCTTGTTCACATACACCCGAGATTTCAAAAAACCCTAAAGAAAGAAGTCTGGACTCGTCAGATTGGGTGATCTTGCAGGAAATTGTCGACGAAATTCACGTTGTGTTTTTATCACTGATGAATTATTCCGTAAGAACATTGACACGATTATTGCACGTTCTTGGGGAGTAAAACGGTCCATGTTTAATTTCAGTGTATTTTACATTTTTTCACTACACAATTTTCAACAACAGAATGAAAACTATCGTCATATAAAAAAAATAAACAAATTTTCTTTAGTGCCATTACTTTTGCGCCACCCGTTATAAACGTAATACTATAAGACATTAATTAAAGTTCTACCCGTGACACTTTACATATACTAATATATAAAAACGACAAAAGACTCTTTACCCCTATGAAGGTTTGGGTATTCAGCGTCGATTCAACACAAACTGTGACTCCTGAAGTCAAATCCGATAGGTTTCGACGTACCAAAGTCATACCCAATATATACTGCTCAAAACAATTAGCGGAACAAGATTTTTCTCCTTTCTATTGCTTAAACTAAAATTAGATTTAAATTAACTTGTACGCTATTTTTAACCTTGTTAATTTGTTAATTACTACAATTAATAAAAAAAATCCATTTGTATTTTTTTTATTAAAAAAAATTAAAATGTGCATTGTAGACGAAAAACTAATTGGTGATAAAAAAGGTCCATCAAAGAAATATTCTTATATCGTTTGAATATTCGTCTTTAGTGACTTTCAGTAACGTGTGTGGGCTCCATGAGCCCTAATCACGGCTTGACAACGACGCGGCATGCTTCGTATGATCCTCCGAATATCTTCTTGTGGAATTCGCTCCCATTCTTCAATCAACGCTTCAGTGAGCTGCTGCAGTGTTTGAGGTGCAATCGGACGCTTCCGGATGCGCCTGTCAAGCAAGTCCCAAATGTGTTCAATTGGATTTAGGTCAGGGCTCATGGAAGGCCACTCCATTACACGGATTTCCTGCTGTCGTAAGTAATCTGACGTGATGGCTGCAGTATGAGGCCTGGCATTATCTTGCATTAAAAGAAAATCAGGGCCCATACCATATGCTGCGGGCCAAACAAGATCTTCGAGCACATTTTCAATGTAAGTTTGAGCACACAAGCGCCCGGGAACAACGACGAGATCTGTGCGCTCGTCCAAACTAACTCCGCCCCAAACCATCACAGAGCCACATCCAAATTTGTCATATTCCTGGACTGCTGCTGCACTGTATCGCTCGCCTGGGCATCTGTAAACACGGAGACGACCATCTCAACGTGTTAGACGGAATCGTGATTCGTCAGTAAAAAGCACTGGCCTCCAATGTCGAAGTTGCCAATTAGCGTGATTTTGCGCGAACTGTCGGCGAGCTTGTCTATGTTGAATTGTTAGACGCACAGCCCGAACTGGTCGGCGTGATCTCAAATTGGCTTCCAACAACGTATTTCTTACCGTCTGGTCGGAAATTTCTACACCAGTAGCCGTCCTTAGTGTATTTTGTAGATCTCTTGCAGTTGTGGTGCGGTTACGTAAAGCACAGTTGACGATGTAGCGATCTTGCAAACGTGTAGTTTTTCTCTTTCGACCTTGACCACGCCTTCGTGAGTATTCTCCCGTCTCACGGTATCGCTTCCAAAGTCTGTAGATAACAGAAGGGGCTACTCCTAGATCATTTCCTACATAACGCATAGTTCGACCCTCTTCAAGCAAAGCGATAGCTCGGGAGACATGCAATTCAGTCAGATCTGGCATTATGACCTAAACTCACTCGCTTCAATGAATAACAATACTCAAAAGGCTCACTTCAATTTCTATTAATACTCAAAAGATTGAAAAAAACTACTTAAAATGTGTTTTCTGTGATAAGAAAGTAATGAAAATTCAAAGACGTCACTTTGTTTTTCGTCTACAATGCACATTTTAATATTTTTTTTAATAAAAAAAATACAAATTGAATTTTTTTATTAATTGTAGTAATTAACAAATTATCAAGGTAAAAAATAGCGTACAAGTTAATTTAAATCTAATTTTAGTTTAAGCAATAGAAAGGAGAAAAATCTTGTTCCGCTAATTGTTTTGAGCAGTATATATAAGAGAATATATTTATAAAATATTTTTCAAACCGCTTCTTCCCTTACCTTAAACATTACATACCCTTTTGTTATCAATGGTCAGTTGAAGCTTAATGAGAGAATAAATATCCTACATTGTTGGTGTGCGTGTCCGAAAATACATTTTCTATTCCTTCATTTGCTCTTTTGCGATACATTGTACGATATATTGCAATTTTCATTGGCTTAACATGCATGACTGAATATCATTAAGTCTCAAATTCGATACCTGGATGATGCAGAAAATTCATCAATCAATGATTCATCATTTCATCGGAGTATACGAGTTATGAAATAGAGATTACAGTTCTTGTACATTGCCAGTCCCAATAGAAATTAGCCGACGTGGCCGTATCATATTCAACTAATGGAAAATACACCGCTATACGTGTAATTTTAAAAATAATTAAATCACATTTATAATCTGGCGTAAAAGATTTAGGCTAGTCTGTATGGGCATTGAAATGGACGGCATGTGTGTGTACTACTTACTGAATATGCTTTGAAATTAACATACTAATAGAATATTTACGACAATATTGTATAAAGCATACTACCAACTCAATGAACTTATGATTGTCTATCAATAAATAAATTATAATCTAATTAAAACCTAATTATAATCTAGGGTAACTAAATTTTCTTCAAGTCGACCTAAAATAAAAAAAAATCTAAATTTATATAAAGGGATAAGGCAGGTGAACATACATTTTCAAGAATTAGTATAACAGATTTTTGATGTGAAACTTCTTTATCATCGTTGGAAAAATATTTACGTCACGTGACGCCGTCACATTTTTCCGCCGTGATTTCGGATCCAGTTTATTAATTAGTTGCAAGATTTGTTGTTTGTGAAGTTTGCCTACCTCTGAAAACTAACTTCAGGCTTACCGCAACGTACTGTTTATTTACAATTTATTTATATTGGATAATTTTTTTCACGTTATATTTAATTAATATTGCAGTATTATGTTTAGTTATAAATAGAAATTATGCTTTTAAATCATTATTATTTATGTCAAAAACCGTGTAGTGCGTTCATAAAATGTAGAAAATTTATATTAAAAACAAAAATATAATAACGATAACAATGATAGAAATAATTATATTACAATAATAATGAAATTCTGTAATAATCTTAGTAATAAGGTAGAATGAAATAATTGTATTAGATATTTATTTATTCTATTATATCTATGTCTATGATGATTAAAGCCTTTTTGAACTTTATCTAAGTTAACTTTATTTAACCAATTTCTATAAAGTTGCATATACATAGTAGATCATTTTTCGTAAAATAAGGTCATAAAGAAGTTTCACTTCTTACGTGTGTACACTAGTACACACATACATTTCTTTGTACTAATATTATATAGATTTTTCTTTAATAAAAAATAATATCAGCATGTATCGTTTATTTTATAAAAACAGTAAGAAAATTCCTAATTTATCACGTTCTAAAAATATGTTTCAGTCTTAAATAGTTTGCTTGATCATCCAGCCAGGTTCTTAGAGCTGATACCTTGGCGTATACTCCAGGGTACTTGGGTCTTGCGCATCCAAGGCCCCAAGACACAACTCCAGCCAACTTTGCGTTATGGACTAAGGGGCCACCGCTATCACCCTGAAATTTTAAAATGTCTCCATTTTTAATCACTACATATTATGTGAATCAACATATTTAAGACGAAGTTTTTAACGATACAGAACGAGAGACTCCTAGTCGCCTTTAAACCCAATTAAGTTTTAATTAAATATTTGTTAGGTGTAAGAAATATTGAATCTCTAAGAATTCATTAAATTTAGAACAAAATAAGACAAAAAAAAATCTTCTTTTGAATTTATCTTATAATATATGTATTTATTTTATTATGCTGCAAATAGCAAATTTGCAGCTAGTAATATAATAGAATGAATTAAATTCATGACGCCGCTTTAAAGTAATATATGTATGTATATGTAAAGGTAAAAATAAACTAACTTTTAGCTAAGTTATTTAAAACTTAGGCCAACTTAGACATCCCTATGGTTTGTTTTCACGTTCTAATTAATAAGCGATATTTGTTTTATAATAAGTGTTGTTTGCCAAAGTCATTTTGTATGATGATTTGCTATTTTAAAAGAGTACCGAGAGTTTTTTACGCCGGCTTTATCACTCCGCCTACACCCTCTCTCTTCTTTGCCGATGAGTAGGGATGTACCGATACAAACTTAATGACGTGCAATAAGTGATACCTGTATCTTATATTCCATTATAAACATATTTTAATGTTCACGTAGTCTATGCCTGAGCGTATGGGCCGGAATTTGGTTTAAATTTTAAGGAACAGACAGATCCAATAATTATATATACTCTTACTAACCTGGCATGCGTCCTTTCCTCCATCGGGAATGCCTGCACAGAGCATAGATTTAGTTATCTTATAGAGAGGTAAGTAGGCAGAGCTGCATACAGCGTCGCTCACTTTCGGTACTGCCACAACTTGCAATGTTTTTGGAGCACCTCCACCCTCCTGGAAAACATGTTCATAATAATAATCATCTCTCTCTGATCTGAAGTCTTTATTTGTCATGAAATTACTGTGAAATTGGCTTGCAATTTGTCAAAATACATATAATTAATAATATATGACGGAGTAATGGCGTTTCTGTGAACTGCCGTTGTTATTATTTTTCACTCTCAAAAATTAACAATGTCAAAGTCTGACTAAACCCGTTAATACTTGTAGTTTATTCGATTTGCCATTATTACTAGTTCTACAAATTAAGGGCTATTTTAATAGTCTATAGTAATAGTGATTTCATGGGCATTATTATTATCGACCATTGATTATATTGGTATAAACTGGTGTATGCAATTTATAAACCTTTAACTTAAGAACTACCTTCTTACTATAAAATGCGCAGTGCGCATATAAAAATCTAATCGCCAACCCTTAATCGTATTATAGGTGATCTGTGACTTGCTGCTGATCAAATAGTTTGATCGTCATGGAGTAGCTATTTGATTAATTTGGTGCTACAGTCTAAAACTTTTAAACTATGCAACACATTTAAATGAAGTTTGTATGTATTTCATTGCATTTGTATGTATTCAAAATGTATTCTAATTAATTTTGACTCAATTTCCGTGGTGGGGTAAAAATCACGAATGTATTAATTAAAAAAAACCTAAACCTGTGCAATTAATGACTCTAGCCAACAATACCTAACCTAAATTATAATATTTACCCGTAAAGCTCCCCACCCGGTGATTATAGTTTCTTCACCATCATCAACTTCCTCTCCCTGCTCATACAAGTCTATGGGTTTTGCTCTTTCACTGAACTCTATAGGGTTCGTTAACCATACGAGGCCTAAATCACAGTCCATTTGGCTATAGGTGAAGTTTGAGTGGTACACATAATCTCCAACTTGGTATAATTCACCCCCTGTTCTACTCGATGATGAACCAGCTCGTATTTGGAGGTCTCTTGGTAGTGAGCTATGGAAAAGTTTTTATATAAAAATATATAATATTTAGCTTATATTTGAATACTCGTAGTAACAATATATTGATATTGAAAACAATAGAAGAGCTCGGTGTGCGAATTTTTAATTAAACGGAAGCCCGAAAATGCATTATTCATATACAATACATTCATAATATACGTAAATGTGTAGAACGTCGCGATTTCACAAACTAAAATTCACATAATATAATGTGTATGAATTGAACTCGACTTGCTGAAAAAAAACCGAGTTTATGCGAACTAGCGCCTGGACTGTATGATTCTTCCTTCGTCATTTCATTTCTTTTTTAATTTAGTATCAACAAGTTACAGTATTAAGTTACTGAATCTCTATCCGCAAAGATTCTAACGAAAAGTTCGTGTTAAGACCTCTGTATCTGATACACCTCTGATCTAAGATATATTTTCACTATAGGAGCAAATGTTACACATTTAAAGAAAATTGATTAGCATTAATATTTTAAACGCTTAACAAAAATAGTATAGATGGCGTTCAAGTTTTGGTATTTCTTATTACTACTATTAATAATGACTACTTACAAATAATTGATTCGATGTACTTTTCGAAATTGAAATTTTGAATTTGAAAATAATATTCTTTTTAGAATTCACGACGTTGATAAAAAGGTTTTATGCTTGGCCCGTTCGTAACATAATCTATCAAATAAATTGAAGAGTTGCGATATTTAATTTAGACCTTGAAGACTTAATTATCTTAACTCTTTAATTAAAAATACTCATTTTCATAATTCCTGATAATTTTTCCAGATTAAATAACAATTTAATTAAAACCTAGTGAAGTCTTTAATCTCCTTTTTTAATTAATAGTTTGAGATCTTAAATTCTCGCTAAAACGGTTTGGGAACCTTTGTATTAACTTCTTTGTTCTTTTAAGTAAAAATTAAATTGTATAAAGAATTTTAAATTAAATAGGTATATAACTCCATCAAACATGCTGTGGTATTGTACTGATGAACAAGACTTTAATAATTGAATCAATAACTGATGTTGGGCACTGTCAACATGTTTCAAATAATTATAACGATGTTGTTCTTTCAATATAGTAGAATCTACTGATTTTGTTAGCTTTAACGTGGTGGCTAGGCTTTCCTAAAGAATTGTTTTACCAAAAATTAAACCCCATACGAACTGTCACCAGTATTCGCTTTTTATATATTTTTTTTTATAGATTTTAATTAAGATATAGATTTCTTAAAAAACTCCGAGTTTTCGCTTTGTTTAACCACCAAATTCGAAAAAAACATTAAAAAAGTATCTCGAATTTTCAGACCCACCTGGGCATCGTACCCAAGATCTCATTCTGTGAATTCGAAGATACCTAGCACAATAAAGTAATATACATACCCAATCAGACAGTGGGCAGCTGTTACTACCAAGTCATTGGCAACAATTGCACCACCACAGCTGTGTCTGCCACGAAACGTCAAAGACACCTGGTAGGGAACAGCTGTTATGTCTATATCCTCACCACCCACGATACGTGTGTCTTTTACTGGGGTTGATACTGAAATACAAGCAATAGTTATTGTAATACCAACGCTTCGGACACCTTGGCTGGCAGCTGGTTCCACAAAATAATAATCGCACGCACTTCAGGGTGACATGGATGACTGCACGATTACTGACAAATGCGTGCACTGACTTGACAGGTCCACCCAATCTGTGTGGTTCTTTCCTCAAAAGACCATTTCAGACTGCAATCTACATGGTCTTCACATGATCTGACCAAGATTATGTCTGGACTTTAAAAGAGACTGTGACCTGTGAGTTTGTTTCGGTGTTTCTTCTCAGAGTAGTCAGATAAGAAACGTCGAACTCGTCGTGTTTAAAAAAAAAATATGCTTGACGTGTAAAAGTGTTTGTAAAAAATAAATCATTTATCATAAAACATTACAATGCGGGGCGGGGATTGAATTACGCGTTATTGTTATTAATATTATTTTTGACTTTCCAGTACTTTACACCACATAATGGTAACTTTTAGATATAAAGAGTCACTGGGTGGTCACGAAACGTTTTACTATTGGGTACAGAAAAACGTTACGGTGCGTTACATGGGGGGTCAATAATCTCCAAAAATTGCGTGACGTAATACTTGAACGATCCCTAATTAGCTGTATAGCTGCAGTTGTTTTTGTCTTCACTTCCCACAATATATGTTGTAGATGGTTAAGAACCAAATGTACATTGTACATCTCTCATATATAAGATTTATTTTAATTATCCTTGAAACCTTACCCTCTAATTATTTAATTATTATAACTTGTATTAATGTTTGCAACGTAGTGTTTACAAAATAATAGCAGTATTTGTATTAAGATTTAAAGATATTTTTTTACACAATGCTTTGAATCCTCTTGTTATTAAACAGGAATTTTCAGTCTTTATTTTAATTTGCTTTCTGGGAATTTCCAATTGAAATCATATATTAACAGCAAACAAATAATCGTAGATTTCAAATGAAATACCAGCATTCTATACACAAAACGCATAAAGCCATAGTTCGGAAAATAATTTAATTAAGCAATGCATTAATACTAATTAAATTAAAAGTATTATATCATAATATTATATATTTCAACTAAACGCCTGCGAGACTAAATGTAATGTCACAATGTTTGTTCCTATACTCCTCCGAAACGGCTCGACCGATTCTTATGAATTTTTTATGCATATTCAGTAAGTCTGAGAATCGGCTACTATCTATCTTTCAAACCCCTTAATGATAAGGGGTGTCCACACCATTTTTTTTTTTGGATAATCTTTTGTTTTTTTATTATGTGGCATTAAAAAATACATATAACCCTTAATTTTCACCTCTCTACGATCAACCCCTATTTTTTATTACAGTAGATAGATATTTTTATTGCACTAAAAAATGTTTCCTAGACATAATATACAAGGCAAAACGACGTTTGCCGGGTCAGCTAGTGTTTTATAAATTCGTCTTGGGACTCTTGCTACTACTAAAATACATATTTAACAAAATATGAAAGAAATAAAGAAATCAATAAAAAAACTAATTTGCCTTTTTATTGAACACGAAACTTAACCTTAAATTATATTAAAGGACAAAATTCTTACCAGAGTATCCCGCCAAGAGTACAACTCCAATTAACAAGAACATTTTACTAATTACAATACACAGTAGTTAAAACTAACCAACTTATATAGCAAATTATTACAAAAGGTTTATCTGCCCGATAGGGCTCACCTTCACACCATTTCTCATCTCTTATCAGTTATATTATCTAGGTTTAATTGCAGTGTTTGTAAATAAACTAATCGAGAGCTCTTCAATTATCTTAGAAATGCCAAAAACTAAAGTTTCACAAAGTATTCAATACAATAATGTATGGGGTAAACAAAAAAAAAATCAGTGGCGCTCCAACCTCTTCAGGTCTTGGCCTCAGATTTATGAATCTGTTTCATGATCATTTTTTAAATCTAATAGCAAAGTAGGTGATCAGCCTCCAGTGCCTGACACACGCCGTCGACTTTTTGGGTCTAAGACATGTCGGTTTCCTCACGATGTTTTCCTTCACCGTTCGAGCAGATGTTTAATGCGCATAGAAAGCAAGTCCATTGGTGTACGACGTGATCAAACCTACGACCTCAGGGATGAGAGTCGCACGCTGAAGCCACTAGGCCAACACTGCTCTTTATGGTTTAAACAAAAGAACGTACAAATTAAGTGTAGCCATTTATTGAGACCGTTATTAAAGGGATTTAAACAAAATGTATTCTTAGGGCATCCAGTTAGACACAGTTTGACAGCAATTAAGTAAAACAAAATCTATTTTAATACTAGCAGACTCGGCCAAGCGTTGCTGTGGCTAAGGTTTTTGTTATATTACATAGTAGTAAACTTTTCAAGAGAAACGGTAGGAGAACAACAGTCATGGGGATCACCATGCTTTTTTGGTGGCTATGCCATTAAATTGTAGCCTATGTGAAACGTTGGTACTTTCAACACAGCGCCATCTGTTAGAATTCTGTCAAATAATAAACAAATAATTTGCAATAAAATTACATTGCGGATATAAATTGAGATGTAAGCTATCCTATCTTTTAAGTTGGATCAAACTACACACGGTGTGCAAATTTGATTGATATCGGTTCTTTAGTTTAGGAGTCCATAGCGGACAAACAACGTGACACGTAATTTATATATATTAAGATATGCTGCACCCATATATTTATATTGCATATGTTTCTGTGTATATGTATATGAATCAATGTCTAAGATATTCCAAGAAAATACTAGTATAAGGGCCTTATATAAAATAGCTGATTTGGTTTTAAGTGAAGGAGATATCTGCGGACTTTCTATAAGTATATTATAAGAATTAGGTCCATCAAGGATTCTGGGGATAATTTTTTGTACTATTCAGATAATACTGAGCAAAAGTAGAATCAGTAATAGTGGCCAAAAAGAACTTGATATGCCGAGTTTTGTATAAATAATGCAAGGAATTCCATGCATAAATAATATTTATTAGTAATCATAACAATCAATCATGCAGTAGTTTTTGAGTTTATCGGGAACAGACAGATGCGGCAAACTACTTATTTTGATATTTCTTAATATCTAAAACAATTGTTTTTTGGTTTGGGTTTATTTGAACCATATAACTTGAGAACGGCTGGACCGACTTTCATGATTTTTTTTTCTCCGTCTCGAATAGCAGAATAACTATTAAAAACGTTGATAATAATTATAAAAATATCAATAAAAAATGTTCATTGGTTTCATAATTGTCAAACATGTAATGTTCATCCCGCCGATATGGAAACCTTTCCCTTAAATTAAAGAACGTATTTAAATATAGGTTTTTAAATCGACAAGATATATCAGCAATACTCGGTGCACTGCACTGTGGTATTTAATCATGTAGAATAATGTCAGTAATGGAAAAGGATTGACATATATATTGGTTGTCAAATATTTATGCGTGCGTTCAGAAGCTTATTTCTTGTTGTAATTACTTTAAAAAGTAGTGAACTTCATATTTGTTTGTGTAACACTACTTCGTACCGCCTAACAGCCAATGAAAATTATAATATAAAACTTGACTTTTTTCTAGTCATTATGAAGTTCCTAGATTAGAAATAGATAATAGATTTTGTTGAACTTGTTTTTTTTCCGACTTACTATGCAAATCTGACTACCATCACAAAGTCTTTTAAATTTTCGAATTAATTTAAATATAGACTTTGACACACCAATGTGTACTATGGTGAGTGTTCTGAAGACTTGTTTGGGTTGATCTCTCCTGCCTCCTTTCAACACCGTACGTGCCGTATCACAAAGCACTTTCTTTTGCGAACTAGCGAACTGTGGAATCGACTCCCGGTGGGGGTCTTCGTTAGAGTGTACTCCCTCCTAAAAGGTCGGCAACGCACCCACTAAAAATGGGTGTCCATGGACTGCGATGACTGCCGATGGGCGTCCCGGAGGTTAATTTGTCCCCGTATTGTATAAAAAAAATAACGTAGCTTTATATTGGTAAAAGAACTTTCAAATCGCTTTTGTAGATCCAGAGACTATCCCTTACAACTTTACAAACTTCATTTCTTTCTAATATTTTAAAAAACACCAGTGGCACTACCTTCTAGGTTCTGTTTCGTGATTTGTTTTTCTAATAGGGACATAGGTGATCAGTCATCAGTGCCAGACACACACCGACGGCATTTTGAGTCTAAGTCAGTTTCCTCTCAATGTTTTCACTGCTGTCTTCACCTAACGAGTCACTGTTAAAATGCGCACATAGGCAGAAAAAGTGCTTAGCCCGGCATCAAACCTACAACCTGCGGGATGAGAGTCAAAGCCATTAGGCCAACCGTATCTCTCCTCTCCTCTATCCTCTATAATATTTGTATAGATACGCGTGTATGAAATAGCCGGTCAGGTCATAGTTCAATTATCGTTCAAGCACGTGGGACCTATCTTATGATACATAATTTCATAATCCATTTAAGATAGAAAATGTTTCATCATCAAACGTCAAGGCAGAATACAAAATAGCAACCTCGACGTCCGTCCGTTCAACGTCCGTTCAATCCTTGAAAGGCCGGCAACGCACTCGCGAGCCCTCTGGCATTGAGAGTGTCCATGGGCGGCGGTATCATTTAACATCAGGTGAGCCTCCTACCCGTTTGCCCCCTGTTCTATAAAAAAAAAAATGATTTCCACAACTGAGCGTTTTTTAAGGCAGTTTTTTCCGCGCTCCACTACTATGTAAAACCAGCTGCCCACTGAAGTATTTCCGAACGAATTCGACTTAGGGTCCTTCAAGAAAAGAGCGTACCAATTCTTAAAGGACTGGCAACGCACTTCAGAGCCTTCTGGCAATGAGAGTGTCCATAGGCGGCAGTATTACTTAACATCAGATGAGCCTCCTGTAACCTAAAAAAAAGTGCGTGCGTACAAAGTACACATGTCAGAAGTGAAATTTCGTTGGGTAGCTAATTTTTAAGTCTTGTTCACATTTATACAAACCTAAAACTTTCGATTTTCAAGACTTAGTGGCAGGGGAAAAGGAAGATATGTTAGGAATTTAATGAATTTAAGTGTCATGAAAATATTAAAAGTGTCGAAAATTAATACAAATTATAAATTTAATTTTTAAATTTATTTCTTCGATAATAAAAACACGAGACATTTCAATTTACAATTCGTCATTCGAGATTTCAATAAATTATTTTGTATAAAATATAAAATACTAATATTTTTATAAATTCTCTATACGAAATTTTAATTTTAAAAATAGAATTCTAAAAAAAATTTTTAATTTAAAAAAATAAAATTAGTCTCAATCGCTCTCTTCTTTTTCGTGACGCTAATATTATTATTATTGCGTTTCATCCGTAAATTTTTTTACCCTCATGCGCAAAGAAGTTTCACTTCAAAAAAGTGCAAAGGAGCACACCCGACGGGCATGACATGCAGTAATTGCTGCCCATGGACATCTATTTCGGCCTACCTCTTAGGACTTAGCTCAAGGAGCGCGGGAGTACTACGCCCTTTTTAAATACTTGGAGGTCGTATATATTCAAAAATTTGTATACAAATTTTGAACAGCAACCAATCACTATCTATTGAAATCATTTTCTATCATGCCATCGTAATTAACCGTGAACCAATAGATAAATGATAAATTAAGTAATATCGATTATTTGATCTTGACACATTTGATTCAAGTTACGCGTCATTAATTAATACACGTGTTACAATCACTCTATAATATCAAACCAAAATGAGTGTGATATATAAAAGATTAGGTCGTGGCTTAGGTGTAATTTACATAATGGTACTCAACTTACACGATTGTTGATACTCTTACTGATAATGAAAAGTTGTTGAAGGCATATTGATATGCTAGAGGTACGAACGAATATATTAATCCAGTAAATTTCTTTCATTAATAGATTTTTAATAGTGCGGTTGGAAAATCACGGAATAAGAAATGATTATTTATTATTTTTTAGCAGTGTTGGCCTAGTGGCTTCAACGTGCGACTCTCATACCTGAGGTCGTAGGTTCGATCCTCGGCTGTGCACCAATGGACTTTCTTTCTATGTGCGCATTTAACATTTGCGCGAACGGTGTGTCATAGACCCAAAAAGTCGACGGCGTGTGTCAGGCACTGGAGGCTGATCACCTACTTGCCTATTAGATTAAAAATTGATCATGAAACAGATTCAGAAATCTGAGGCCAAAACCAAAAGAGGTTGTAGCGCCACTGTATTTTTTTATTTTTTATTTTTAAATTAAATTAGTTTCAACTTCTTTAACTTCAAACGCGAATTTATTACAATAATTAAATTTACAGTTCACTTTCACTCACATGTACAGTGCACACACACTTACTTATTCGATAACATGCACTAAGTTGAAAACAGTTGCAAAAACAAAAATAATTAAAAAAATATGTAATTAAATTAAATATTTTTATGGAATTTACTATTATGTTTATTATGGAAGAGCTGAGAACCCTGACATGGGTATTTTTTTACTTAAAAGGGTTACCAAATCTTACTACACATTGTTGTCAAATGAATAAACACATTTTTATTTTTTATTTTATTATTTGCACAGTAATAAAACTTTACAGCAACAATGGT